TGAAAGCACTGAATGGATTTTGATTTTGATTAAATAAGACTGAATTAGTTGTATTAAGGAAAGAAATTCAACAATTGCAACAAAATAAAGAAATAGCATAAAACTACCAATGCAAGTACATGTAGACTATCCATATACATGTAAATAGTCAATACATACAACTCAGAGCGGTTGCATTAAAATACACATCTCTAAGTAAAATAAAATAGCGTCGTAAAATGGCTTCCCTTTCATTTAATTACTTGTACGTGTACTCGTGTTGCTCGATATATTTAATTAAAAATGGCATCTAAACTTTATGTATTTACATGTATAAAAGTTGAGAACCCCCCCCCCCCTTTTTTTTTAACGGCGCAACATACAAATGGAGTAGAATTTTAACAGTTCCTTCAAATATGCATATCAGAAGTTTTTGTATATACTAGTATACGGACTTAAGAGTTCTACAACATCCCAGGTACAAAATGGACCCTAAGGGTTTGATGGTCCTTTCGCACTCATAAAAACCTGTGTTGGTTAAATTCAGTCTCTTTCCAAGTGAAGCGTCAAAAACTTGTTTAACACGGATAGTGACAGTTCCCTAACCTAAGTCTTTAGCATTCAAAGTAAATGTCATGGGTCTTTTGGATATTATCTTTTTAAAAAAAGTCCAGTCCTGCGTAGGGTGTTGGTCAGTAATGCAACTATGCATAAACACTTGACCTTAAGTGGATGATCTTTTTATCTGGTTGAAAAATCCTTAAATGAGGTAAAGCAACATTCAATTATTAATCACATATTACATTTAGGAATCCCTCTCCTCTTTACTAGTTTATTTTCTAAGACAGGGCATAACTTATATCGATGCTCTCAAAGAAAGTGATGAATAGATTGAGTCCTCTCAATATTAAGACCTAGTTAACAAAATATGGATCACATGATACTCGTACCGAAGTGTCCATAAAATTATGTCTGTACCCATAGGAAAAAAGTCTGTGACACAAATAATAAATGCACGTTAAAGCTTCAAAAAAAGATGGCTTTTATCATTTCTTGAACTTCAACAGTGCTCATAAGGAAATACAAGGAATACTTATATAAGTAGTATTCATAACGGAATTCAAAGAAGTAGCATATACACTATACAGATAAACAAAACTATTATTATAAATATAAAATATAACTCATATTCACACCCTATAGCCTATAAAGGTTTTTATTTTTTAATTCTTATCAGACATTTCAAAGAAACGTCTCCACTTGTAATTGTAAGTGTTCTTAGTACTTTGATTTTTAGATCTTTTACGTAAAAAGTTCATATTTTTAGTAAAATATGCATGGCTGATATAAATCTTAGTAAATCTACAGAAAATTGTACTCTAACCAAAAGTTTATAAAAAGAAATAATCTAAAAAAGCTGATATCCTTCATTGTGAGTAGTTAGCTTTTTCTGCATATATCGAAAAAATGAAGTGAAAAGTTTTTATTTAGATGTCATAGCCACCTTTAACCAAATTCATAATTTGGAAGTCACTTTTTATGTGTATAAGAAATTTACATGCAAATTTTGGTGTTGGTTAAAGGTGGTTATGACATGCGTAGGTGTTATCTTACACAGCCAACCTCTTGAGTTTTCCCATTACTCGAATGCTAATACGGAACGATAGTACCTTACTTTGTGACCATATATCATTAAAAATACTATTGTATCATTAACCAACCAATATTTATCATTAAATTGGAACATATGCCTAGTTATTCATGCAATTTTTAAGGGAAAAATACTTTTTGAAAATTTGAGGCCGCAAAACGGCCTTATAGAGAATGATGCTTTGTCACCTTGACATACTTTTCGAATTTTATGGCTAATCCTTTCGAAAACATTTAATCCTATTATTTTTGACTCTGAGAGGTTTAGAATAAACAAATCTTGTACGTTGATTGCATCATGGTGCCTTTAAACATTTTTAAGAAAAAGTAGGTCACTGTGACTTACTTTTTTGAATTTTGCAGAAAATTAAATTCAAATTGTTTAAAAGGCATATTATGAATCCTTTCAGACCTATGATCATCAAACTTTGTCAGTAGATGCATCTTGCAATTTTGGAAAACGTCGACCAAAATGTAGGTTGTGGTGACCTTCTTTCGACATTTTATTGCTATATTTAAGTACCTTAGGTACTTATTGGTTTAAAATCATTAAACTTTGTGAGTTGATGCATCTTGGGTTTTCAGAGAATGACGACCAAACAGTAGGTCATAGTGACCTACGTTTGACATTCTATTGCTTTTTTTAAATATCTCCCGTACCTATTGGCTGAGAATAATAAAACTTTCCGGGAAAAGCAAACCAAAAATTACGTCTTGACCTACTTTTGACATTAATTTTTTAGTATCTCGAGTTCTTATTGACCTAGAAAAGTTAAACTTTGTCAGTTGGGGATTCTTTGATTTTCTGAGAAAGTCGAATAAATGATGACTTACTTTTGAATTTCTCAGGTACCTTTTGGCTTAGAATCATCAATCTTCGTCAGTTGACGCATCTGGGGTTTTAGAAAATGACCAAAAAGTAGGTTACCGCGACATATCTGTGACATTTAATGACGATATTTAAGTATCTTTGTTACTAATTGGCTAAGAAGCATCAAACATTGTCAGTTGATGCATCTTGGGTTTTCGGAGAATTTAGACAAAAAAGTAAATTACAGTGACCTACTTTTGAATATTTCAAGAACTTATTGGCTTGAATTTTTCAATCTTTGTCGTTTAATGTATCTTGAGTCCTCAGAAAACTTCAATTAAAATATCTTCAGTTCTATATGGGTAAGAGTCATCAACCTGTTAGTTATTGCAACTTGGTCTAAGGATTCTAAGATTCAGAGGCTTCAAATAGAAGTGATAGATTGTACTTTTTGTCAGAAAAAGCGATTCAAGGTACTTGGGCTTCTTGATTTACAAATATTTCTATAACTTAAAAATGTCTTGTTTATTCAGTAATTTATGAGCATTTAAGGTGCTTCAAAGCAACCTTGACGTTACTCGCTGATCGTGAAGCTCATTATTACCATGCATCCATCCCCTTTCAATAAATATCAACCCAGATCGGATAAGAATATTTTAGAAGAAATGATACATTTCTCATACAATCAATAGAGTCCAATCATTTCACATGTACCCGAACTTCTGACCCAGTGGTATTGAAACTCAAAATCTTGGAAGAGGCATACATGCTCATTATTATAACAAATTACATAGAAATTTTAGAAGCACAGACTTTCAAAAAAATTAAGAATAATACAATTATCATTATATAATTTGTACCCCCCCTCCTTATATCAAAACCAAAGAGGTCATGCAATAAATTATCAATTTTGAAGAGAAATTAATACTTAAAAAAATATGCACTTAGATATTCTTTTAAAATACCTATGAGCAGAGAAGATTTACAGAAAAATATTGCATTTGTACGATATAATCAATAGAACCTCGATCTAACATTCGAACCCCTGACCAAGAGGTCTTCAAATTCACAATTTTGGAAGAGGCATCCATGCTTAACAGAACTATATATACTTAAGATATTTTATTTAATACCTAGAAACAGAGAAAATTTTCATAGATTTTATGCATTTTCATTATAATCTCAATGCCACCAGTTTGACTCCTTTATTTCTATGAGAAAAGATTTTAATAGAATGCATTAACTTGTGGCATAGTGGTTTTGGTTCCAACAGTACATTTGCACCACCAGCCATTGGTCTCAACAGAAAAATGGAAAAAAAAATTAACGAGGACATTTTAAAAACAATGGGCCACATCGCTCACCTGAGAAGCTCTAACCATGCTATTCTTAACGAGATTTTCCCCTTGTATCTCATTGTGACCCCATCATATCCCTGGGGTCATAATTTGGACAATTTCAGATCTACACTACCCAATGATGCTTCCACATAAATTTCAGCTTTTCTGACCCAAAGGTTCGTGAGAAGATCTGTAATTTTTTCCCTTTATATTTCTATGTAAACCTTTGAGTCCCCATTGTGGCTCCGTCAAACCCTAGGGGTCAATGATTTGAACAATTTATAATCTACACTAACCTAGGATGCTTCCACATAAGTTTCAACTTTTCTGGCCAATCAGTTCTTGAGAAGATTTTTAAAGTATTTTTTTTCCTATATATTTCTATTTAAAACTTTCCCTAGTGTGTCCCTCGCGCACCCCCTACCCCAACCCGGGGGGGGGGGGGGTTCATGATTTGAACAATATAGAATCTACACTACTCCAGGATATTTCTACATAAGTTTCAGCTTTTCTGGCCCAGTGGGTCTTGAGAAGAATATTTTTCCTATGTATTTCTATGGAAAACTTTGAATCCCTATTATGGCGCCGCCCAACCCCGAGGGTCATGATTTGAACAATTTAGTATCTACACTACCGCAAGATGATTCCACATACGTTTAAGCTTTTCTGGCCCAGTGGGTCCTGAGAAGAAGATTTTCAAAGAATCATTTCAATATATTTCTATGTAAAACTTTGATTCCCTATTGTGGCACCACCTAAATCCCGGGGGTCATAATTTGAACAATTTAGTATTTACACTACGCCAGGATGCTTCCACATAGTTTTCAGCTTTTATGACCCAGTGGTTCTTGAGAAGAAGATGTCAAATGACCCCACCCTATTTTTGTCTTTTCTTGATTATCTCCCCTTCTGAGAGGAAGGACCTGGCCTTGATTTTAATAATTCAAATTTCCCTTTACCTAAGGATGCTTTGTATCAAGTTTGGTAAAAACTGGCCCAGTGGTTCTTAAGAAGAAGTCGGAAATGTGAGCAGTTTACAGGCGGACGGACAACAGATAAAATGTGATCAGAAAAGCTCACTTGAGCCTTCAACTCAGGTGAGCTAAAAAAGCGTTGAAAATAATGTATAAAATTTAAAACATTATCAATTGCAAAAAAAGTGTTAAAAAATCATTTCAATAACTTCAATTAAATTTCATTAGACATGGAAAATATTTTACCGTTGTACGAATTGTCGATTTTGCATCTACCACGTGAACGAAGACATCTGCGTCTTTACAATGGTCAGAAATCAATCTGTCATGCTCCCTTGATCTACTCAATCCTGGACTAAGAAAAGAAGAATACTTTCCAAAGAAATTGATATATCTTTGTTTTTCATATATTGTTATCATAGGCGCCAAGTACATTTATTTTTATGACATTCACTTGCACCCGAATTTTATTCGGGGCGTATATTGTTTTTGTCCTGTTGTCAACTTTTACCTTCGCCATAACTTTTGAACCGAGAGAGGAAGAGACTTTATATTTGGTACATGTATGCATGCTCAAATAATTATGCACTTTCGACTGACACCAAGGTCAATGACCTTGTGACCTATATGCTAAAATTAGCTTTTTCGAACTTTTGCCATTACTTTTGAATCATAGGAGACAGAGACTTCATATTTGGTATGAATACTCCACTGGGTAAGTTCTTTCGAATGTCAAAAAGGTCAATGACCTTGTGACCTTGACTGTAACCTATATGCTCAAAAACTATTTTTCGAACTTTTGCCATCAATTTTGAACCATAGGAGATAGATACTTCATATTTGGTATGCATAATCCACTTATTATGTTTTTTAGAATGCCAACAAGGCCAATGACCTTGTGACCTTGACTGTAACCTATATGCTAAAAATAGCTTTTTCGAACTTTTGAACCCTAGGAAATATTATATTTGAGACTTTCTATTTGGTATGCATATTCCACTTATCAAGTGCTTTCAAATGAAATCAAGGACAATGATTGTGGGACACTGACTGTGACCTATATGCTAAAAATAGCTTTTATGGTATCTAACTCTGGATACACTCATTAACACCCCTACTAATGTGTTCGGATGATATTCTTTATCGCTGTTAAGTGTAGCGTAACATCCGAGTGGTCAATTTGACCTCTAACGAGACCAGCCTCGAGACCGTGCGAGATCTGCACCAGTTCCTGTAAGATTTAGACAGGAAGTATATGTGTGTTTTGGGATTTATGCATTTAATGTAAGTAAAGCTCATTTTATTTGCCTTCATTCAATTGAACTTTTTTGCACATAAAATTTGATTCAATTAGTCCTTATTTCTCGAATTCTATCACCTCAAACACATGAAACGAGAAACATTAAATCAGGTGCATTTAGAGTTATCGTCCTTTGTTTACATGCCTCCACGTGGGTGGAAAAATAAAAATCTTTTGGTGTTATAAAAATATATAGGGCTTGTCAATGTTTTTGAATTAATATACTAAATTATTTATGTTGTTCTTGGTGTTGTGAAATATTTTACCCCAGTATTAAAAGAAGTGAAAATGATTCAATGTGCAGAAAATGTTATAGTCTGTTTTACTTCTTACAATAGCAGATACACAATTTCTCAGTTACTTACATGCAATATACATCATTACATGTAATAAACGTGTGAAGAAGTGCTTAATTAAATGAATATAGAATGAACGTGACATTCAAAAGATTAGAAATGGTAAATGACAATGTAAACAACCCTCAAGTGATCACCTGGTGATTATTATTCAGGCGTGGATCTAGAAATTTTTTAAGGGCGAGGGGGGGGGGGGGGGTGAAGAAGGAAAGAGTTTAAATACATTGTAAATTACGTTTTACTTAAACATGTAGATGTAGTTAAATAACTCAGTAGGATACAGGTTGGAGTGTGGTTTTTAAAAATGGTATAGGTTGATCAACCTTTGAAAAAAATACTTGTATCTATAGATTACCTTAAATTTTTTGAAAAAGTGAAAAGTGAAAAATAAATCTTTGAACCTGTAAATTCTACTATGTAAAGAAGTAGGGTTTCATTTTGTTATCACAACCAAATTTCTTTTTATATCACAACATTAGCCTTTCAATGAACATTTTCTATAGTAAGAACAAAATACACTGTAGAAATTTGGGTATTTCTTTCTCTCTCTTATTTTGCAAATCAAAAGGGGGGAGGGAGTGCAGCGAGAGCCAGTCCACCTGCCCCCTAATAAAAACGTCCTGGTCAAAGTGTCCCCTAATTTTAGTCAAAGCATCCCCGGATTTTAGTCAAAGCGCCCCCTTACATTATTTTTATAGAAAAAATACCACCACCAAATATTACTTGAAAATTATTTAAATTTCCTTGATCACAATCTTAGATGACATACAGACACTTACTGTAAAGTACTAAGTACTGAACATGAATGGTACTAGTAAGTAATTTAATTGATTCATTATCATGCCAGGAGTGATAAAAGTATTTCAAAAAGTCTGTTAAATTCTTATAAACTTAATTATCTCACAGTCATGATGGTGTGTGTCAGTGTCCCTTATGCAAAGAAATACATGTATAATTGCTTTAATAATTTCTCTTAGTATATTTTTATAATATTTTAGATGTTAATGAGGCCAAAGTTTTTATTTTTTTTGGTTTACGATTTTTTGACACAAAAATATGCATTGGGTGGTCGAAAAATAAAAATAAAAATAATTTGGAACCTTGACATATTTTTTTCTCGAGTAGCATTGAAATGTATTCAAATAAAAATAATAAACACACAAGATTTTTTAACTTTTAATTATTATTTATTCTTATCATTCGGTTTTAAATTCGGTTTTAAGTCAAGAAAAAATGAATCACACGTCAAGTTACTCAAGAACAGAAATGGGAGTAACAGGCTCTGTTACTGTTGATGGTTTTCATTCCTCCGACTTACAAGTCTGAGTTTCCATAATAGACACATATTGCACTGGGACAAATATGGGTAAAATTAAGCAAATTGGCTATTCTCTGGTCAGCCTTTCCACTTACGAAATTTTTTTTGAAACTCCGAAAGTGATTGCTTTCACAACAAACCTTTACCTTTAGATATTGTGTCCAGGGACCGACCTAGACCCACTCGATTAAGGAGACTTCACTTCTCCCTTAAAGAAATTTAAGGAGAAGTTTTGAAATTTAAGGAGACTTCTTGGTGCGTATATGTGGCACACTTTAATCGTTATAAAATTATTACATTTCAAAAAATTTTCTATATAAACATTATATTTAAAATGATTAAAAAAGATAAAAAGAATCTTAAAAGATATTTCCCCCAAATTACAAGGTATATAAATATCTAGAAAAAGTAATAAAACAGCATTGACATTAAATAAAATTTACTACTACTACTACTACTAAACTGTACAAGTTTCTTATTGTCAGATTAATTGTTTATCAAACATTTTTTTTTCATTTCTAATATAGTAGTACAATCTTAAACTTCTAAAATTTCTCTTCTCATTAGATTTCCAGGCTTTTGGCAATCCAGGCATAGTCATAATTTTGTTAATTTCTCTTTAAACTTGTTTTCAATATAAAATTCCGTTAGACCAATCCACACTTTGCAAAAGTTATGTCCCTTGGCCGCCATCTTAGGGGATAAACCCATACAATCCACACAGTAGCCTTTGCAGTTTTCAGGTTTGTAACTTCGTCATTTGACTTTTAAAAAGCTCTGCCTTTTGTGTACTGATTGCCCCAAGATGGGGCTACCCACAAATTGAAAGAAAAAAAATTTAACACAATGGATTTATTACAGCACGCCCAAATATTTGATAGCATAAAGTAGAGAATTGACGTTTCTTTCCCTTTTGACCTTTTGGTTGACCCCGCTAAGGGAAACAACTTTTGCAAAGTGAGGATTGGACTATAAAAGTTTTGATGCACACCTGCATGCTGATTGAACAGCTATACTTATATTTATCGAAGTGTAACTTCTTAGAAAGCTAATAACTTCACAATTTATCAGTAAAAATATGTCTGTATTCACAGCATGAATTAATTATTTGACAATAATAAAGATCTAAAATCTTCTCCAACATCTTTGGCATGACATCGATAGCTGTCCAGCTGTTTTGCGTCTTGTTGTGTATAACTTGTAACGATGGACTTTTTCATACCCGGAAGTGTAAAATCTAGAGGAGTTCCGACGGAGTATTCGATCCATTGGTCATTGGCAATGTGGTTTGACAATCTGTATTTGTAGAGTTCATTTAATGTCTGTGAGAGTTTGTGTTAATGATTAAGATGTGTTGTAAATTTTGGTTTGGTCAAGAAAATTTCGAGCCAGACACATTATTTTTATTTTCGTAAATAGGGAAAAATAGGGTCGGCGGAATCGTAAACCAAGAGAAAAAAAAACTTTGGCCTGACTAAAATGATTGATCATTATCGAATAAAATATCTCTCACAGACATGATGCAAAAGGCTAATTTATCGTCATCTTAAACATAGGATATGGAGATAACGAACAGATTCAATATCAAAGTCCATAAAACAATACAAAATAGGAGCAGAGCAAATACAGACCTCCGAAACATCAGAGGTTGGATCAGGTGCCATGGTGGAGTGAGCATCCCCTGCCGACTGGTCGCACCCGCCCTGTGCTCCTTGTCATGATTACGGAAAAATCCGTCGTCAATTCAATGTATAAATAATGGGTTAAGAATTTGTATGAAAAACATCAGTCAGCATTTACATATTGTAAATCAATTGTAAATCAATATTATTTACAATACATGTATGTAAATCAACTTTCAATTGCTTTTCTTGGCTTTACAGCATTTTAAGTCACATAGTCATGATAGTAGTATAATATGATAATAAGGACTTTCAAGTAGGCATAATTCTGCTTCAGGCATAGTTTTAGTTTTTAGGTGTCATTTATTTTTCCAGGGGTAGCTTCATTGCATTTTTTCGCCTCAAATCCATGCTTGACGCAGTGGTTAGAGTGTCTGCTCTAGAGTCGCGAAGGAAGAAGTCAATCCTTACATCACATGTTCGAATCCCACTGTGGGATTTGGAGACGGTCCTTCAGATGAGACTGCATGTATAAACTTAGGTTCTTTAATCATGTTAATTGTCACAGTAGGTGCTGGCACAAATAGATCCCTCAACAATTAGATAACCTTATTTTGACACAGAATTGACTCTGATTTTACTTTGTCAGTGTACGTCGAGTGTACAGCAATGAAAACTATACCCATCATATCTAAAAAATTTTTTGTGTGTGTTTTAGAGGGAGCTAGTGTCAAAACCCCCACCTCCCCACCTGAATCT